TCTTAATAGAACAGCATTCTTAACCTTTAGCTCTTCACTGTCTTCCGGGTTGGGGAAAAACTGAAAGTTCCATGCTTATATAAGTGATATGAGTTTTAATATCAGATAAAGTAGTAGATTTATAGAAGATCTACTATGTTTGCCACACCAGGGATATAGTATAATCAAAATAGTCAAAGCCACTATTTATAAGGACTTATCTTTCTGGTAGAGAGCAATAAAAAAAGAAAGAAAGAAAGTGAAAATACAGCATTCCACAGAGTAATAAGCAGTAAGGGGAAAAAGGAGGGAAGACAAGAAGGAGACGAAATATTACGTAAGATGATCAGGAAAGCCCACATTGAGAAGGCAATATGTAAGCAAAGCTTGTGAAAGTTGAAAGAGCCACATTGACAGCTGAGGGATGAGCACTTAGGCAGAGGGAATCAAGTTCTCTACAAGAGCCCAAGGCAGCACTGTGTTCCAGTTCAGTGTGGAGACTAGTTTGGCTGGACAGAGAGATTAATGGAAGGGCATTAAAGAAGAAGACAGAGTGGACAGAAGGCAACTTGTACAGGACTTTGTAACCATGAGAACTTTTAATTCTGAAGGGTTATTCTTTTTCACATTAAAAATGTCATCTTTGTGTTTGTTTGTTGACTATCGATTAGAGAAGAGGGAACTTTCAACTCTATTTCTACAAATAAAAAGAACAAAACTAAATCAAAAGAAACCTTATCTGACTACAGAACTAAGGCTACCAGAAAGAGGGAGGGAAGGCGGGAGTGAACGAAAGAAGGGGCCCAATTAAATGTGGTAAGTTATTACAGGGGTTCTAATGGTAGACATGATATGACAACATTTGCAAAGATGAGACTCTACACCCCCAAAACATAGTGTTGTACACAGTGTTACTCAATAAACATAATTTAAAATAAGTAAATAAAACTCTTATTTCTAATTGTCAAATTTTTTCTCTCTCAAGAAAGTTGCATCTGTAAACTGTCCTTGAGGATGTATATTGGTGACAGGGAAAAGTTAATGCCTTGTCTAAGAGGAAAGGAAAGTCCTCCTAGACCACAAGAAAAGAAATGCTGATTTTGGAATGATATTTTCACAACCATCTTAATAGATAATAGGCAGTTAGGAAACCATACCTGGGGCTCTCGAACCACACTTGATTATATTATGATAATATAGTCACTTACAAATACTTGCAGATTGACTATTTCATGTCATTTTCATAGCAGCCCTATAGAGTACACAACAAAAGTTAGTCTGTATTTAGTATACAAAAGAGTCCACCAAGATCTTATAGATAAAAAGTGAAAACACTGAGACTAAAGTCTAGATTTCCTGTCTCCTGGTTCTCTCTCTATTACCCCAACTCTTTCTCTTTAGATTTAACCTCTGACACCACCTGGTGTCCTTTTTTCATCCCAGTCACCCCTTTTCTGACCCCACCTGGTGTCCTTTTTTCATCCCAGGTCACCCCTTTTCATCTGCTGCTTGAATAACTTTCCACATTTCCTGGCCTAACCCAGGTCTCTTTCCAATATCTCTCCAGCTGTATAAACCCTATCTTGTTTCTCCACATAAAACACAACACACAATATCATCTATAATTCAGCTTCAAGTACCAATTATTCCTAAAAATATCATTCTTAGCCCTCTCTCCAAACCAGGTACAATGAATTCCTCATCCTGAAATCCTTTGATACTGAGAAGCTGGGTTATGTATGTATGTATGTATGTATGTATATTTTACATCATAGTTCATTTTTTTTAAGTTTTATTTATTTTTGCATGGGATACAGGCCAGAGGTGCAGGGCAGTGAGAGAATTCACCAGACACAGAGTGGGTAGCAAAACAGGGAGATGGATGAAGTATACTGCTCAAAGGAGCAACGGGCAAGACAAGAGAGGTCTGCCACGTCATATGGATCACCTCCGGGGCAGGGATCAAACTCATACTGAAGTGGCTTTAACTTCTTAAAGCTGTGCTTTAACCCACTGCGCCACCAGGGAGGGCCCCATCATGGTTCAATATTGTACAATGTATGCTTATATGCTTTCTCCTCTCAGGTATAGTCCCCATAAAATTTCCAACACCAATTCATCCATGAACCTTCACCATAGTCCTTTGTATTCTTCTATCCCATTTTGATTCCAAGAGGAAGAGTTTTCAAACTTCAGCAGGCATCAAAACACATGGAAAGAATGTTAAGACATTGTTAGGCCCTCATACCCAGAGTTTCAACTCTCTAGATCAGGATGAAGACTAAGGTCATGCATTTTAATAAATCTCAAGTGATGTTAATGCTGATGGTACAAAGAAAATGGCTCTGTCTTCACATAGCCTCACTCTTAAGCCCACTGGTGTTCTCTACTGTGGCTGAGTTCAACTCTCTGTCCCTCATGTTGTCTGCCTCTTCTCACTTGTACTCTTGCCCTGTTATCAGTGAATGAATTCATACTTGTCCTCACTGGGTCATTTATAGTGCTAAACTATTATTTTCACTAGTAGGCATCATGGCAGTCAAAAACACCACAAATCCACTTTATAGAAGAGTACATTTTTTCAAATAAGTGTGCTTAAGCTATCTTTAAAATTCTTAAAGTAAATTTCTTTCTACTGTGCTGAACATAAAATCAAGCAAATTTTGTATGGACAACGAGTGTTTTTAATATCAGGTCTTATAGGTTAGGCACCAAGAATGAGTGCATACAGGTTAGGCAGGCCTGTTTTGAAGAGAATGTCACCCGCACACACAATTTACATTCTTTCTCTCTTTTCCTATGAACCCATCCCACTGGTCCCTGCCCCAGGTGGTTCCTTAAAGGAAAGTTATCTCCACACAGAGGAAAGTTTTCTTGGCATCTCTTGGATTTCTACCCAAACCATTGTGTCTCACTAGTCAAACCACTGTGGGAAAAGTAAGCAAATATAGCTAGGATTCCATGCATGCACTGAGACCTGCATGCCTCCCAATGAGCTCACTGGGGAACAACAGTTCCTATTCAGTAGAGACCTGCAAACTCATAATAATCACTGACATGAAAAATATACTTCATTTAGTTCAGAACTGAAAGAAGCAATTCTCCTGAGCCACAATACCACTTGTTTTTCTTGAATGAGCTTTCAGGTTGTGTAATGAGGACAGTCTTGTGGCTAAAGTTTCTTGCACATCTTCCTGTTGGAGCGAGAACACCTCCAGGTATGTAAGGAATGGAGACTGCATGGGTGTCTCTTGCTCCTGTGCACCTCTGCTGTCAGATACTAAGAACATTCTGGTTCTTCTGCGAATCCATTAACTCTTCATTTTGTTGTTCTTTGGAGGAATAATGTGTTAGGCCCTGCAGTTCTCACCTCAAGTGCTCAGTGACCTATTCATATTAAGAGCTCTGGCATCTCACAGTTCCCACTACACTTTGAGTGGTGGGTGCTTAAATGGTGGTGCTCAAATATCTTGCATATCTGAGCAGGCCATTTGATTTCCTTCAGTTAGAATGGACCCTGAATCCTGAACCACTTTTTTTCCTCATTTTATTCAATGATATTTTGATGGCTAGCTGCCCTTCAGCAGAGCAATTAAAGCAAGCTGCACTTATATTTTAAGAGTTGTTGGCAGGTGACAAGTAGACACAAAGAAATAAATCAGCAGACTCTTGTCCTTTGGTTTTATCTGTAACTTTAAAATCATAAATCTTTTTTTTTTAAAGATTTATTTATTTACGCATACAGAACTGGGGTACAGGCCAGAGGTGCAGGGGCAGTGAGAGGAGTCACAAAAGACAGAGTGGGAAGCAGAACAGGCAGACTGAGGAAGTACACTGCTGAGGGGAGCAGCAGGCAGGTCAGGAGAGGTCTGCCAAGCCATGTGGGTCACGTCCGGGGCGGGGGCGGGGGCCGGGGAGGGTGTTGAAGAACTCGCACTTGAAGCAGCTGCTGCTAGGTTGCAGTGCAACCTAAATCTTTTTTTTTTTTTTTAAGATTTATTTATTTCCTCATACAGAACTGGGGTACAGGCCAGAGATGCGGTGAGTGAGAGGATTCACCAGAGACAGAGCGGGGAGCAGAACAGGCAGATCAACGAAGTACACTGCTGAGGGGAGCAGCGGGCAGGTTAGGAGAGGTCTGCCGTGCCAAGTGGATCTCCTCTGGGGCAGGCAGGGATCGAACTCATGCGGAAGTGGCTTAAGCTTCTCAGTGCTGTGCTTTAACCCACTGCGCCACCAGGGAGGGCCCAATCATAAATCTTTAAAGAAAGAAGAATCCTTATACTTTTCATATAAAAAAAATGTACTTCTCTGGACAAGTAGCTCAAATCCCAAGGATGTGATTGCTGCTACAGAGGAGGAACTGTGCATACAGACTGGATTGTCCGGAATCTTTGTTTTTCTTCTCTTCTCACCAATTTCTCATCTAGTCACCACTTGAGGTGACTAGAAAAGTGAAACTATACTCCAGCTACTAGAATATATACTTCTGAGTGGGAAGCAATGGCTCCAGTAGATTTCAAAATAACTGTGAAGTTCAAATTACATGTGAAGTTCTCTGACCCTTCCAACTTTCTATTCCATAGAAAGTTAAAATGTATCTGTAATGTCAAAAGGTCTTGGACATTATCAAGTCACATAACCAAATTGGAGTCAGAACTTATGGCTTGCCTGGTTCCAGGTCAAGAACCACAAATTGGAACTGTATTCTGTTCCAAGAATAACCTTACTACATAGATTTATCTAAGTTATTCCTAAGAGAAAGCATTGGCCCAAAGCATAGAGTGGTGATGCTATAAAACACAGAGTTCAAGGACACCCCAATCCCACAGAGACATAAAAGTACCCATGTAGGTGGCATTCTTGAATATTATTATCAACCATAAGTTCTAATTTTATTTCTGAGGTCACCATGTACCTTATTACTTAGGACACTGCTAAGAATACATACAATAAGCAGCATATAAACATTTTTTAAATACCTAATTTATAAATAAATGGATAAAGTGCTCTACTGTAAATTTAGTGTTCGGGGGTTTTGATTGCTTGTGTGTTTCTTTTGACAGCCCAGTAACCATATTTTCCAAGCAAAAGTGATAGCATGTATTCTGGCAAAAATAAGTCTAGCTAAGAGAAGTCTACTGGAAATTACATCCTCAGGAATTTTGATACATAAGGTCACTATAATTATAGCATATTGAACTAAATCACATGAACAAAATTTAGATTTTTTTGTAAAAGTCATATTTATTAAAGATATTTTTATCATTTCAAAAATGTTAATACAGATACTCAGAATTATCTTGGCAATAAAATAATGATCCTTGGGTTTATTCCAGGCTTGATCAAGTACTGAGAAGTTCTCTTGCTCTCTCCAGAGTGTGTAAATGGCATAGAAATGGAATATTGTGAGTATCTTAACAGTTTCATAAATAATATGGTTAATTATCTTACTTTTGTAGCTGACTATATACCTGAATTGAAAATAGTGATGTGGTTAATCCAGACGACTATGTTCAACTTTAGCCAGGAAACATTAACACATACAAATAAGCCTAAAGCAACAGTTTCAGAAAGGTTATTAGTAAAATAGCCAAGTTTATATCCTAACTCTTAGTTAAGCCAATATAAGAAAGTCCTTTCTGATCTCAGAACTTCCTGCCACAACCCCTCTGTTTTGTTTATTTAACTTAAAGGAAGATTATGAATGGACAAGCCATGTGTTTAGGAATTAGTTCCCAGCAAAATGAAAGCACATAGTTTTGTTTACCAGAGAAACACCCAGTGGCAAGTTACCTCAAGAGCCCTCTCTAGTGTAAAATAGCATAGCATAGCTTGAGGCAACACAAGCCAAGGGAAACCGCATCTCCAGGGAAGAGCTGCCACCAGTTAATTCAGATGTACCGCTCCCCCCACCACCTGTACCACTCCCCACAAGCAGCACAAAGAAAGAGGAATTGGACTTTTGTGTGACTTCAACAAAGTGGGGTCCCAGGATCAACAGATAGAATATAGAAGATAGATTTTGTCCAACCTAAAGAAGTGATTTGAGAAAGCCAATGCTCCTCAAAATGATCTGAGGAAATAATTCCACAAATCAAATGCCACCAGGAATAATGTGATCTATATAGAATGAGCTAAATAGATGGTTTTCAAGCTATTTATAGAATCCTGAGGGCTCTGAAGCACCACGGCAAAAGACTCTAAGCAAGAAGATTCAAGTCTCCCCACACACACACACACACACAAATCCATTTTTTTTACTGTTTTTTTTTTTTGTGGAACTTCCCTATACAAAACTTGAGTAAGAAGGCTATTAATAGCTCTTTTGCGTCCAATTTATATTCAACTTTATTTCAAAGCTAGAGGGTGTATTCAGTTTATATGTGCATGCAGGACACCTAAGGGGCAATGATTTTAACATGAAGGACTGAACAATCCTGAGACTCGGGTTTATAGGAATATTTGAGATGAAGTGGGGCTGGATCCATGCCAGTCTCCAAACGGGCCAGCGTACACAGGAGTTACTGACTGTGCATATTTAAATAAGCCCCTCATAGCCCTCTGTAAAAGAGAAGAATACAGCTCCACAGCTAACAGGGAGATAATATATGTAAAATGAGATAATATATGTAAAGACTGTAAATTTTCCAACAATTTGTTGGCAAAACCTATAAATATGCATTATGATTCATTCATTCATCAGTTACTTCTGCTTTTCTAACAGCTTTGAAACTCCACAACACAACAATGCATTTTATAACTGAATTTGTTCTCCTGGGTTTTCCTGGGGAAAGGAAGAACTTCTTCTTCTCATTAATCCTGATGATCTATCTCCTGACCCTGCTAGGGAATGGGGCTATTGTCTGTGCAGTGAAATGGGACAGGAAGCTTCACACCCCCATGTACATCCTCTTGGGAAACTTTGCCTTCCTGGAGATCTGGTATGTCTCTTCCACTGTCCCAAACATGCTGGTCAACATCCTTTCAGAGACGAAGACCATCTCCTTCACTGGCTGCTTTCTCCAATTCTATTTCTTTTTTTCACTGGGCACAACAGAGTGCTTCTTCTTATCAATTATGGCTTATGACAGGTACCTCGCCATCTGTCGCCCTCTACATTACCCTTCCATCATGACTACAAAGTTCTGTGTGATTTTGATCTGTGTTTGCTGGTTGAGTGGATTTCTCTGCTATCCAGTGCCCATAGTTCTTATCTCCCAACTTCCCTTCTGTGGACCCAACATCATTGACCATATTGTGTGTGACCCAGGCCCGTTGTTCGCTCTGGCCTGCATCCGAGCTCCATCCACTGAGCTTATGTGTTATACCTTCAACTCAATGATTATATTTGGGCCCTTCCTCTCCATCTTGGGGTCTTACACGCTGGTACTCAGAGCTGTGTTTCGTATTCCCTCTGGTGCTGGTCGAACTAAAGCTTTCTCCACATGTGGGTCCCACCTAGTGGTAGTATCTCTGTTCTATGGAACGCTTATGGTGATGTATGTGAGTCCATCCTCAGGGAACCCAGCAGGAATGCAGAAGATTGTCACTTTGATATACTCAGCAGTAACTCCACTCTTAAATCCCCTCATCTATAGTCTTCGAAATAAAGACATGAAAGATGCCCTAAAGAAAGTTCTGGGATTAAGAATTAACAAAAACTAAAACATCTTTGAATGAAAGGTAGTATTTGTCACTTCTGACCTTAGTAATTTATAGCAACAATGGAGAATGTCCAGAAAATCATGATCTGACTTTCACTTAAGCAGAGGGAGAGAATTTCTTCAGTTCCCTAGCAGTTCATGTTCAGTTTATTAATGATAGATGCTCAAATAAAACATTTTCAACTATATAATTTGAGAAAAAAAATATATATATATATATACTTTTTCTGTGGTGTTTCTTTGTTAGTTTTAGTCTTAGCTGGTGGAAGGAATGAACTGTATGTTTAGCTGGAGTCATGCAAGAGAGGATGCAATCTTGTAAATACAGAAAATATTCTTTAAGACAAAGACTTAAGGGACACACACAGACCCAAAAAAAACCCCAGAAAACCACCTAATGATGACATTTTCCATTGACTTTAACACCAAAAACAGAGTCTAGTAACTAAAGTACAACTCTTCTCCTTGCCTTTCAAAGCTCTCACCCAGTAGTCTGCTCCATTCAGTCTTCTCTTCTACTGCTCTGCTGTCTAAGACTTGCACTTTATAATAATCAATCTTATTTTAACATAAATACACTTTCTCCCAATTGGGCATCTTTACTCAGTAGGGCTTCCTCTTGAAATCAATTGTGACAACACCTTTGCTTTTATATTATGGAACAACAAAGCCCTAAATATATTAATACCTCTCAAAGGCTAGAGGGCAAAATCTCAGTCAAATTTTCAGAGAAAATTAGACCAAGAACAACTTCCAGTTTTATGCCTAAATCCCATGTTGGACCAGGAAAGGCATCGTCTGAGAGGTCAACTGACCTCAAATGAGAATAAACTGTTTCAGATATATACATGCTGGAAATGAAATTACTGTGCCAGGAAGACAGGCTCACTGATATTAAGTGATGAAATATGCTAGTACAGTGTTTCCCAAACCCTTCCACCACCAAAGCATGTTTGGTGACAGTAGTTGAGAATATGCAGTATTGGGGGGAAATATTTCTTTGAAATTCAAAGTTTGCACTTAAGAATCATCACAGATTATACCTCCTACCCCATGGTACATAACGTATTTGGTTAAATACAATATTTAATTCTCTGAGTAAAATGTGCCTTCAGGAAGACATTTAATTAGGAGCATTGTGTATCTCATGGTACAATATCACATACCCTGTCTGAAAAACACACTCAAGACAATGGTTTCCCTTCGTGAGGTAATGTAGCACATTATTTTTAATAATCCCTATGGGACAATTTATCCAAAATATTAACAAAACTCCCTAGGCAAGAAGTAAAGAGGCCCCTGAGGAAAGCATGGAAAGTCACAAGGTCACATGAAGACATGCCTGAGCATTCTCACAGTAACAAACAGGAGCATAAAAAGGGCCACCACATAGTTTCAACACACTCTGTAGAAAACAAGCCACTTAGTGTGTGAGGGAAAGTAGATATGCTATGCCCAGAGCTCACACCCAGGGCTTCTATATTAAGGCCAGAGAAGGAGAGATTTTTTGTGACCTCCCTGTGGACTCTCTCCAGGCTGACCTAGAAAAATTTCATGGTGAACAAAAGAAATCGTCTCTGATGGGTATTGCTGCTACTCTACGCCACAGGTGGGTCTATTCACCTATACGTTCAATATGTTCAAGAGACTAAGCATCAAAGAATTTGGTTTCTCTTTTGGCTTCAGAAATAAATAACTCTTCAGTGTTTAGATCATTATAGAACTCATGCTTTCTAAAATAAGTTCACTAAATGGTGCCAAAATCATCCACAATCTCCCTCTTGGCCAGAGAATGTATGACTTCTATAGCGACTTTGAACTAAACAGTATGGAACTAATTCTATCCCACTCATATTGAAACCAAGAAAAAATGGGAATTTTGCTTTTATTCTCCTGTCAGCTCTACCTTTTTGTCCTTTCTTGTATTCATCTGTACCTCCAGGAGAGGTAATATTAAAAAAAAAATTAGGGTGAAAATTCTATCAATGTGTGTGAGGAATAAGATCCTATGTAGGGAACTGCTTCTTCCAGTTAGGCTGTCAATTCAATTCCATACTTACCCTGTAGCTAACTCAGAGTGTTTCTACAAAGTGTATTTTTTTTAAAAGATTTATTTATTTATTCGTACAGAACTGGGGTACAGGCCAAGGTGCAGGGGCAGTTAGAGGATTCACCAGACACAGAGTGGGGAGCAGAACAGGCAGGTCGATAAAATATACTGCTGAAGGGAGCCGGTATGCCAGGAGAGGTCTGTCACGCCATGTGGTCACCTCCGGCGAGCAGGGATCGAACTCATGCTGAAGTGGCTTTAGCTTCTTAGTTGCTGTGCTTTAACCTGCTGCGCCACCTGGGAGGGCCCAAAGTGTATTTTTTTTTTTTAATGTCAAAAAGAACTGTCTGTAGCTCAAACAATGGAACTCAATCTTGCACATTTTATTTTGTGTCAAAGTTTGTGAATCTGAGTTCAAGTCAATACATACTGTCTGCATCACACATACTGTCTGCATCATACTTTCTCAGCATGTTGAGAAGCGAGGTCCCTTGCTTAGAAAGCACAGAGTTCCCTAAGTGAGAACTAGTTTTTCACAAGGTTTCACCACTGTGATGACCCATGCAAGCCAGGTTAGTTCTTCTTTCACAAGAACTGGGGTGAAGGCCAAAGGTGCTGGGTGGTGAGAGATCTCACCAGAGACAGAGTGGGAAACAGGGTAGACAGATTGATTGAAATACACTGCTGAGGCCCTCCCAGGTGGCGCAGCGGGTTAAAGCACAGCACTAAGAAGCTTAAGTCACTTCCGTGTGAGTTCGAGCCCCGCCTGCCCCGGAAGTGACCATATGGTGTGGCAGACCTCTCCTGACCCACCTGCTGCTCCCCTCAGCAGTGTACTTGGTCGATCTGCCTGTTCTGCTCCCCACTCTGTCTCTGGCGAATCCTCTCACCTTCCGCATATCTGGCCTGTACCCCACCTCTGCACAAATAAATAAATAATTCTTAAAAATAAAGAAAAAAAAAAGAAATACACTGCTGAGGGGAGCAGGCGTGAGACAGGAGAGGTCTACCACACTATGTGAGTCAGCTCCCTGGCTGGGGATTGAGCTTGTGCTGCAATGGCTGATAAGAGCTTCATAGTGCTGTACTTTTAACACTGCACTAACAGGGAGGGCCCCATCTTAGTTTTAAAAATTAAAAGAATTTCAGCACATCTTTCATTTTTCTTTTCTTCAACCATAAGACTTCATATGCTTTACATTCAAGAGGAAGGTTATATTTGCTACTAAATGAGTAAGTTGAGAATCACTTTATGCATTTTTAATTTAGTAAGCCTGTAGCAGCCTCGATGTCATAATGTATTTCTTATTTAACATGTCTTCAAGGCATACAAGAGGTTTTTTCTATTTGATTATATGTTCAATTACTATACTAAGTACCACATGTAATATTTCTATCAAGAAATTTTTGATGAAAATTCTCCTCATATCAATAAAAAATTAAAAGTAACTGGTTGAAGATATTTGTGGAAAATGCACTATGTAAAGCTAACATTATGTTCTCTGAGCTATATTTAATTATTAAAAACACCTCTTCTTTGGTAATTATATTGTACAAAGAATAAGACATTTTTTGGAATACGGGTAAATAGTTATTTTGAAACATCTTTGTACCTCTTGAATTTACTTATTTTGAAAATAGGGACTATTTTTTAATGGACTTTAAAGTAAAATATTCTAAATAATGACTTTTAAGGGGAAATTGTGACAACAGTAAGAAAAGAGTTTTAGAAGACAATTTTTGATGATTTTAATTTTAATTTCCTTCTCCAATAAATCTCTTATATTATATTCATTTTCAATGACATATTCTAAATGTATTTGAATCATTATAAATTGCCATGTAAAATTAATCATGGGATGAATGGTAGTGACTTACTGTTTAAAAATAAATGATTAAATACCAACTTGTAAATGAGAAGCAGTAAAATATGAATATCTTCAAATAGGAAATAGCAAGATATATAAAGAATTTATTATCTGAATTTCCATGGTATTTCTTCTGTTATGAAAAGCTTTTTTAAAAAGTTATCTTAATGGAGAGAGAGAATCTAAAGCAATATCAAAATTCAAACCGTTCAAATCTGTAAAAAGCGTGAGATTCAAATCTATTTCAAAATAATGGTATATGTATTCTATTTTGGAGTAAATGACAGTAATTATCACATCTAAACAGCTTTCACTAGAAAAATTTGATATAAATCAATGTTTGCCTGCCTCTATTTCAAGATTTCTTTATATGAAAAGATGAAATTTTACTGATTTTTCTACTGCCTCATAAAAGTCAAGTAGCCTGGGATTGTACATTTACAAAGAATCAGTGTCAAAGGTTCATTAAGAGTATGACAAAGGGCCCTCCCTGGTGGCGCAGCGGGTTAAAGCACAGCACTGAGAATCTAAAGCCGCTTCCACATGAGTTCGATTTCCGCCTGCCCCGGAGGTGACCACATGG